TTATGTTCACCACCCAGTCTTAAATTGATCTATTCAATCTGTTCAAGTATATATGAAAACATTACACCTGAAAGTAACCAAAAGAACTGTGATGAAAAAAATTAAGCACCACATAAAAGTGTGAAAATACTTCTGATAGCAAAATACTTCTTATGCAAGCAACAACAATAACTATTAAAACCTTCATACATCTTTTACACTATAGCATATGAGAAAAAAAGAATTAGATTATAAGGTGAAAGGCTAAAATAACCTGCAGCTGTACAAAGTTCTTTCAGCTGTACAAAGTGCTCTTCTTGTGAAGCAACTCTACTGGAGCAAATATTAAAATAAATTAAGTAAAAATAATCATAAAAGTTAAATGTTAATTTTTATTACAAAGAATATTTTCACTTGTTAGAAACATCACTGATAAAATTTTGTCGAAAGTAAACAAAACAGTGATATTTATTTTTGCACAAGTATTCTTGGTATCTCATGATCTAATGGATATTTTCCCACAGAAATTAGGTTTTTTGTAGTTTTTTACTTCAGCCATTTTTCAAGATAACAGCTTTTACAGAGAATAGTTTGTAAATATTTATGAACAATTTCATCTGTGGATTGCAAAATTTCTTATAACTTGCAGCTTGTTGGAATCCAAACAGTATGAGCTCATGAAATCTAAAATATATAGAAATAGGTCTGCAACCTGACTACCACTTATCTAAAAAGTACTTAGAAGCATAAATTCAAGCTACTAAATAAAACAAGTAAACATAAAACCACATATACAGTAAGAGTCCCCTCATTTAGCGAACAAACGTACAGGTACTATATTTATTTTCTTACTACTTATGAAGGATTTCTACCTCCCCCAAAATGGAATAACAGGGAATGGATTTTTTCTTCCAGTCAAAACAACTGGTAAAATTGACCAAAAACATGAAACACTTGTTTTCAGACACTGGATATCAAGCAATGTAGGACACTCATTTGAGTAGAAAATAAAATGAGGTAAGCCTCTAAGTGCCACAGATTATTTTGGTTCTGAAGCTGCATCAAAAGGACAGTAAACACAGGTACGTTCCAGAAATTTTCCTCAGCTGAGGAGATGAACCTGGGAATATGGGGGGGCTAAGGTGGCGAGAGTTTACAGGACAGTGTACTGAGAAGAGAGAACTTCCCAGAGTGCTCCAAAGATTTGCTCAGGGTTCCCTTGAGTCTTCCGGTGAATACCACTTACTGGTGAAGGAACTATCCGAGGCTGGGAAAAGAACGATCTGTAAAGTGCAGAGAGAAAAATTTTCAAAACTCACACAGAGTTGGGAATAGTTTACGATCCCACCAGTCAGAGTGGAAACCCTGTGCCATAGAATAGAGCACCAAGAAGGCTGGGCGTCGGGACCGGAAAGATCAACCCTACACTAAATGCTGTTTGGTTCCTACCCAACGAAGCTCAAAACTAAGCCTTGAAAAAGCCAAAATGTTTCCAAGTAAATTAACTGCATTCTAGAAAAAAGCTAAAACTTCTTTATCAATACTGATAAATATCTAGCATCCAAAAAGATACAATTCACCATGTCTGGCATCTAATCAAAATATGATGCATCAGGAGGACCAAAAGAAAACAACAGAAACTCAAAAATTACAGAAAATGACAGAATTTGTAGACAGGACATTAAAAAACTTAACAAAATTCTATAGATGAAAATATAATTTGTGAGATGAAAAATACACTGGATAGGATAAATATAACATTACGTTATTTAAAAAAAGCTTAATAAACTTGAAGACACAGGAAGAGAAAATATGCAAAATCAAACACAGAAAGAAAAAAATAATGAATTAAAAATAAGAACAGAGCACTAGTGAGCCAAGGAACAATTTCAAGCAGTCTAATATACGTATAATTGGAATTCCAAAATGAGAAGAGAGGAGAAAATAATTTTGAGACACAAAGGCTGAAAGCTTTCAAATTTGGTTAAAATTATAATTTTATGAATTTATGAAGCTCAATAAAACCCAAGCACAAGAAATGAAGAAAACCACACTTATGCACATCGTAATCAAATAGGCCAAATATATAATAAAGAGAAAAAATTTTAATGCAGAAAGAAAAAAAAGGAACAATAAGGTTAAAAGCAGATTTCTCATTAGGAAAAAAAAAGAAAACCAATGGCAAAACATCTTTAAAATAATGAAAGAAAAAGCTACAATTTAGAATTCTTTCACACCCCCAGAAAGTGAAATAAAGACGTTTTCAGAAATACAGCCTGATATAATTTATCGTCAGCAGATCTGCACGTAAGTGTTAAAGGCTGTCCATTTGGCAGTAGAAAAATGGTACTAAATGTTATTATTCTGTCAAACACAATGGGCCACAAAATGAGTCTCAATAAGTTTAAAAGAATCCAAATCACTCAAAATATATTCTGTGACCATAATGGAATTAAATTAGATATAAGTGAAACATTACTAGAAATTCTCCAAATAGCTGGAAATTAAATATCCCACTTCTAAATATCCATAAATCTAGGAGAAAATAAAAAAGGAAATTAGAAAGCATCACCTGAAGAAATCAGAAAAAGAAGAGCAAATTAATGTCAAGGTAAGCAAAAGAAAAGGAATAATTAAAGAGAAGAAATTAATGATATGGGAAAAAAATAGAGAAAATAAATGAAACCATCTGTTTCTTTAAAGAAGAAAATCAACAGAATTGATAACTCTGTAGCCAGGCTGATCAAGAAAAGAAAAAATAAACAAATAAAGAGGAGAAACACATTACCAATATCAGAAATGAGAGAGATGAGAAAACTGGATAATATATGAATATTAATAACCATCTTTTGCCCAAAATTCTACAAATTAGATGAAATGGGAGAGACACAAATGAGAGACACAACAGACAGAACTTAAGAAGAAATACTAACCAGAAAAGCTCTAAATGTGTTTTTAAAAATTAAATTTGCAATTAAAGCTTTCCCAAAAAGAAAATCACAAGTCTAAATATATTCAATGTTGAATTCCACCTCAATTTAAGAAAGAAATAATATCGCTTCTTTCAGAAAATTACAGAGTTAGAACTACTTCCCAATTCACTTCATAAGGCCAGCAGTGCCATAATACCAAATCAAGCAAGATTATAAGAATAGAACATTACAAACGAATATCCCTCAATGACATAGGTATAAAAATTTTTAACAAAAATTTAACAAATCAAATCCAACAACATATAAAAGAAATATAAAATGACCAAGTGGAGCTTACCCCTGAGTAGCAAGGTTGGTTAAACATTCAAAAATCAATTAATGTAATTCTATTCTATTAGCAAATAAATCTCAATTTAAATAATTTTACTATTTTATGTTTAATAATTGAAAGTTAATTATAGTTTTACAAACAAAGACACATACTAATATACTTTAATGTGGCAGATTCCCCAGGAGTAATGTAAAGATTTTTAGGAGAGTAGAAACTAGGTTCTACCTGTATTGACCATCACACTTATTTCCCACATTTTATTATTTTGAGAGAGTGGAATATTTCAACTTTATTACACAAATTCTGGTTTGGCATCCAGAACATATTACTAGTATGTTCTCAAAAGAAAATCCTACTTAGAAAGTTAGTTTCTAACCATTAAATATTCATGAGCATTCAAAAGTAATTATGTAATTTGCTTAAAAATAAAATAAAATTAGATAACCAAGAACTAAAGGGCATGAAATAATTAAAAATATAACAATTATATCAATTATAATTACTATTTAATAAGCTCTACAGATGAGCTCTTTTGTCTCCTTCCATCATAATTCAAATAAATCAAGTGAAATCTGATTAATATTTCAATATAAGTCTTAGAAAATAAAATGATACATCCAGCATCCTCAAAGTCAAAATTTTTAAAAACTATGTGGAAATATTTCTGGCATTTTCTGACTGTATTAGCATCTAAGTCAATCACTATACAATGAAGAAATAAATCTGTCAAGTTAATTTCCATTAATATTTACTGAGTAGTAATTTGTAGTAATATTTCTTGAACAGTTAAGTAACTTCCTTAATTTAGATGTTAAATCAACCTTATAAATAAGGAGAATTTCTCCAGAAAACATGATTTTTAAAAATCACACGGTCTTCCCACAAATCACACAGAAATTAATATAAATAAAACATTATAGTCACAGATCATAAGCTGTTATTAATTAATATAAAAAAGAAGGAATGAACTGTAAATTTTAAAAAAAAAAGTTAAAATAAGACTGGCCTAGCACTGGGGTTGACCCATGAGATGCTCAATAAACTAATTTGAATCCAATCTAATCAAACAATCAATCATAAAAGAATGAATAAATGAAAAAATCCCAATATTACAAAACATAAGCTCTTCTTTAATAAAAGCAGAAGAACATTAGCCTTGACCATTTCAAGATACAAAGAACATCCGAAATGTTTCCTAGCAATAAATCTGAAGCCTTTAGCAGCCTCTCACTAAACACAATAAAAAGGAAACATACAACATATATATACCTTAGATAAAGTTATCAACAATGAGATGTAGTGGGTCTTAAAGAACTGTTAAGTACTGCTGATTCTAAATTTTCATTAAAAATTTAAATTACGTTCAGTATATAATTAAGCGAAAGTGAGATTAGTAAACACAGCAAATAATTTCAAGAGGGGTTATGAGAAAAGTTTATCTACTTAACCCTCAGTTAAAGTATACCATTAATCAGAAAACCCAAATATTTGAGTTATTTAAAGTGTGATGCATTTTTTAACATATAATTTCATTAAAATTTAGTACATTCTTTGGTTGGCTCAATATTATTTGTATGAATGTTTATTATGGAGCTATTAATCATCACAAACATTCATGTACCTACCCTTTTTATCAAGAGTCCATACATGCTTTCATATTGTTCAAAACAAAAAAATCTATCTATTTCATCACTTGGAAAGAAATCGCATTTTTTTGTAATCAATGTTTCACTCAATTTAATCCTATTAACACTTACCTGTATTTTAATAGGCCAGGAAAAGTTGCTGACGTACACATAGAATGTTATGTTGGGATTGCTTCTAAAGTTAAATTTTTCATAGGAAAAACTATCTCTGTATTCCTTTATATTAGTCTTGGAAACTATAGGGGTCTCCTCCCCAGATATTGTTCCAGCTAAAATGTAAATAATAACAAATTTAAATAATTCATATTAGGAAATAAGGATCTTTATGAACTTAAAAATACCCACTTATTTTTATAACTGTACTTATAAGAACATAATTAGCAAAATAAACTCATGTTTACAATTTAGAATGACAAGAAAAAGTAAGGTGTTATAAATATAATGAAATAGACTTAGCATAAAAATTCTTTTTGAAAATGATACCACTGATTTTGTGCTATGTACTAGGCACTGGCTTAGAGACTTTATATTCTTTTCTAATAATAGTTTTATTCCAGAAGTGTTCCATCTCTCTTTTTCAAATTGAAACTTAAGGTGTCAGAACTATTAAAGCATTTGCCTCAAGTTTATAGCTACTGAAAACTAAATTCCTTTTTGGAACTCAGGTATATTTGGCTCCAGACACTGAGTTTTTCCCTACTTAATACTCCCCAGAGCCTTTCAAAATAAATCAGGCCATATTTCACATGTCTCAATTGAATTAAAAAATGGAAGAGAAACGAATTTATTTGTCTTACTACAAACTGAACCATCACTACTTTGAATAAACTGGGAGGAGGCTCTGATTTAAAACATGAGCTATTGTAAATGCTCAATTAGTTAAACAAATACAAATAAATAGTTAAAAAAATACAAATACAATAAATGTTGACTGAAATTAGCTAAATGAAATAAAGCATTTCCAACAACCTTACCTTAACAAACAATAAAAATAATTACAACTAGTATATTGGGCAACTGAATTAATTTCTAACTGGTCATTATTCCAAAATTGTCTTGGATGCTTTTTTAAAAATGCAGATTTCCTGACCCCATCTCCCAACCTGATAAATAAAATTTTCAGACACTTGGTCCTGAGTACCTGAAAGCTACAAGTGATTTCTTGCATATTAAAATCAGTATTCTAAAGTGATTACAGAGGTTTTATACACTTTTGTTGAAAATTTTAAAACTCTCACAAAGCCAGTTTATTACACAGAAGTAAATTTCAAATTAGCTGGTCAAGTTATCATGAATTATTAATTAATGAAACTCATAATGCTGAGATTTTACTATATAGTTGCACTATTTTAACAAAATACCTATATGTTTGCCTGAACTCCTCATTTTTGACACATGTTTTTGAAATGCATAGGTTTTGGAATGCCAAAGACCTCATCACTCCTGAATTCTATGTTTCAATAATCCTACATATTAAAATAGCATAATGACTTTATTTTCAGAAATCAAATATGGAATACTTTCTTGAAAAAAAGCTTCCAGCACTTTTATGCAACAGTGTATCTTTGATATAGAAAATATCAAAATAATTTCCTAAAATGTAAATATAAAAAATGTGAGCTTTTGCATAGTCCAACATACATATTTGTACTTCTTCTTAGTTATATTTTTTAGAAGTAAACAATTTTAACTTGTAAACCTTATTATGGAAGACATATTAAGTGTAGGCTTGAGGTTTTTTCAACCCTCTCTCAGTACCAAATAGAGAAGGTATATTTCTAAGTTTGAAAGTAATAGAAAAGTTAACTTATCATCATTCACAGAAGACTTGCATTGTTTTATACCAACATAAGGTTAATAATTAAATTTATAGTTTCAATAGTGAATCAAATAATTGAAATTTGTCTCTTTAGATTAAAATTTTATCTTAATTAAAATCAGCAATTCATAACACTGCTATTTAAAAAAAATAAGTAGTGTACAATATTTGTTACCTATCTATGTAATTTTAATTGAGTAAGAAAGGAATTTAACAAAGTAATGAAGTTTTATTTATAATGCTACTTATTGTTTTTACTTGAAACAGCACAATGATTGGGTATACATTTTTTTAAAATTTTAATTATTTAAATTAATAGTAAAAGGTCATATTAAATAACTTCTATATATGAACAGATGTGAAAGGCACATGACAATAAAATGTTCTTACCTGTTGAACCAACTGACCATGTAATGTTGAGATTAAAGTTGTTTGATGCATTAATCGAAATATCCAAATTTTTGTTTGACTACCAAGAAAGAAAACATTAAAGTTAAAAAAATCAAATTATACTAGATAGACATGTTCAATGATTTAATTATGTCCATGCTATTATTTCTCAAACTCTATACGTTATGTCAATATTCAACTGAGTAAGTGTAGATGCCAATTACACTCTTTTAATAAAAAAATATATTCAGGTGATAGATTCAAAGATAGATTTAAGGTTCCCTTTTATGTTTTCTACTGAAATTTGGCTTTCTGTATGTAAAGCAGAGGCTGTTGTAATTCAAAATTTGTATTTTAATTTTCTTTGCTTATCTGTAGTTAATATTTGAATGATACAGGTTTGGGTTAGTCCAATAATTTTACAGCATCATAAGATTGTTTTGTTGAAAGACTTGGTTGCATACTGTATTGCTATATATACTTTTTCCAGTTAAAAAATACTTAAAAATATAAAATTAAAAATTTCAGGCAAAAATGATGAGCCTACTATGAAAAAAGAGATCACATCATTTAAACATCTGTACAGAGGAACACTGAAGAATTTATATCAGTTGGCCTGTTCCCTATCATTCATCCATTTAATTTCAAGGAAAAAAATGTCTAAAACATTTCCTTAAATTTTATTTATTATCTTACTCCAAGAAATGAGAAAGAGAAAGTACATGATTATAACGACTGAGTCCTGCAGAAACACAAAGAAAGATAGTTGTATCGAATAGGTTTAGCTTCAGATATTGTGTTTTGCTGTGTTTTTAATATACAAAAACTGTACAAAGAGCTGTACTACTAGCTGAGAACTGGCTACTAAAAAAAAATAAATTACTTAGTGTTATTATTTTTTTCTAAATAAGATAAAGCAGGTAAGCTAATAGAAAATACATCTCATTTTCTAAGTGGCTCTTCGAGAAAATAAGTCTGCAAGCAATCAAGCTCCCCATAACTAATGTTAACAGGCTTAAGGGGAAATTGACTAAAGGACATGGTCCTTCCTTGATGGACAGGAGTGGAAAAAAGAAGCACCATAAAAGGCTGCTGGATGATGTGTGATAGTCATCCCACTTAAAATGTACACCAAGATCCAATTTTTTACCTCCATATAGCATCTATTCATAATGATTGCCATAGTGTGATAGCTGGGTCTCTAAGAAGAATTATTAGTAATTTTCCATAACTACTAGAAGGCATTCTCTTCACAGTTTCCAGGAAGAAAATATAGATTCAAGAAGAACAGTCATCTCAAAAGAACATGCAAAATTAAATGTATTATAAGGTTGAATGATTGTCATACAGCTTTTTCAGGGCAGTGCTCATTAACACTGCAGGGATAGCATCTGAGACATCAAAATAATCAAAGAAAAATAAAGCCTGGAAGTATAAATACATGTAACATTTCAGAAGGATACTGCATTATCTATCAAGTCATACGCATAAATGACCATGAGTGTAAGAAGGAAGTTAACTTCCTGAGTTCTATTGATAAGCTGTTAAGATACCTTCCACAATATGTACCACAAAAGTCAAACTTCTTGAGACCTTGCTATTTTTTTGAGAATGAGTGAAAACATTTGACATGGATTCAAGATAATGTCACTACTAATGACTCTAATGACAAATGCAAAATGCTTTTATGGAAGCATGCTAACAGGTCTGTTCAATAGATTATGTTGTTCAGGTATGGCAAGCAACATCTATTTCAACATATACAGAGGGTGCCAAAACATGTATACACATTTTAAGAAAGGAAAACTGTATTAAAATTGTAATACTCAATATATACCAATAACAAAAGATGAATACAAATCACGTTTGAGTTCTGCAATTACAAGAGGTGCTCAGAGTGGTACCCATCAGAGTCCAGACACTTCTGATTATGGCGAACGACTGCTTGAGCAACGCTGACCAAGGTGTCCACTCCTATACATTTTTTGGCATCCCTGGTATACAATGTAGCATTAAGGAAAACCCAGAAACCAAAGAAAAAACATTTCTGGTAACAAATATTGATTTACATCATCATAATGAACTAACCAGACCTGAAAACCAATTACTGCTTCGTATTCATTAAATCATGTCCATGAGGCATTGAAATGAATGAATGAACAGTATGCATTGTTTAGTCAGATGACCTTGGGTTCAAATCTTAGCTCTTTAACATATGCGCTGATTGGTTTAGGGAAAGCTGCGTGCTGAAAATCAGTTTCCTCATCTCCAAAATGGAGATACGATGACCACCCTAAATAATTTCTTGTGAACATTAAACAAGATAATTTCTCGAAAAACAGCATGGTTTCAGGCCATAGTGCTGATAATGGTAGTGTTGATATTATTAGCTCTAGTGACACAGAATGTCTTCTTTTCTTCTTTTACTTCACCTTCATCTTCATCAGGGGACCCAGGAAAAGGGCATACTTGCCAATATCTGAGAGGAAATTGTTTTTTTTATTATTAATGAAGTGGTTCAAAAATAGCTGCTTTTTTATAAAAACAAAATAAGGTAGAAACAGTGGACTTTCTTTTTCAAGAACATCTTCTTATTTTTATCTTGAAGTCACATCTTCATAATTATGTGTGCCTCATTTGGGGTCAAGGAATTATGAGAATAACTGCTATTGTTAAAAAGTTCATAAAAATCTCCAATTGATATAGAAAACTATAAAACTCTTCTTGAAATTTTAGTTCATGCTCTATCAATTCCAAGATTAAGTATTACTGAAATATATGGCACCATAACTAAAGCCCTATAAAATGCATAGAAGGTCAAGAAAAAATAATGCTGGACTGAAAGAAGTAATATTGTAATTACCATAGTAAACGACAAAATTAGTCATTTAGAACATTGTTGGTTAGATGTGGATAAATTAGGCAAGATCATGTTATGTAGGAAACTACTCCAGAAATTGTTCACATGAAAGCACTGGCTAGAAGTGATGTATAGCAGATTAGAATGAAATGTATCGTCAAAATGAATGAAATGCATAAATAATTGAGGTAACTATTTTTTATTATTTATTTTTGTAGGATTAGTAGGAAGCCCTGATCAATAATCCATAACTTCAGAAACTGTGCTATGCTGAATAACTCTTTAACTATAAATGCTCATTATAAGTTATATATAACAATGTTATATGCTTTCTTCATGGCATCTCTCATGATAGTTTAGCATCCTACACTTTCAAAGAACATGTGTTCGGGCTATTGGCTTCAATTGGATAAGAGTAGAAAGTAAAACAAAAAGCGGAGACATTTGGAAGCACTCAAGGATTGCTGGAAATTGTAGGAGAGGACAGTCAAGAGAGAAGCAAACCAGAACTATGGCTGATCTGGACCTATGCGAATGACACTGTGGGTAACACTGGGGAGGAATATTATTCACACTCACATTTTGAGTCAGACACACGTTTATATTAAATTTCTTATATCCTTAAAAATTCTACAAGTTTGTAATTACTCTCTTTTCTGAACACAATGGAATACTAATACTAGAAATCAATAATAGACAGAAATAGGAAACTTCACAAATATGTGGAAATTAACACACTCCTGAATTAATGGGTCAAACGGGAAATCAAAAGGAAAATCAGAAAATATCTTGAAACAAACTAAAATGAAAAAACAATATGCCAAAACTTGTGGGATGCTGCAAAAAGCAGTTCAAAGAGGTAATTTAGAGCGACAAAGCCTATGTTAAAGGAGAAGAGAGATCTAAAATAAACAGCCTCTTTACAAGCTCAATAAAATAAAAATAAACAAACTATATCCAAACAGAAAGATTAGTACAAAGATAATGAAATACAGTATAAAAACAATACAAAAAAATCAACAAAGTTGTTTTTTTGAAAAGTAAACAAAATCAACAAAACTTTTAGCAAGACTAACTAAAAAATGAGAGCAGACTCCAAACGTAAAATCTGACATCAAAGTGGAGACATTACAATGCAAAATAAAAACACAATGAGATAGCACCTCACATCTATATGGTTATAATAATTAAAAAAAAAGATAACAAGCACTGGGGAGGAGGTGGAGAAATTGGAGCCCTTGTATACTATTATTAGGAATGTGCAATGGTACAGCTGCTATGGCAAACAGTATAGAGGTTCCTCAAAAAATTAAGAATAGAAATACCATATGATCAAGCAATCCCACTTTGGGGTATTTTCCTAAAGAATTAAAAGCACTATCCAGAAAAGATAGCTGCAGTCCCATGTTCATTGCAGCTTTATTCGTAATAACCAAGATAGGGAAACAACCTAAACATACATCAATGGATGAATGGATTAAGAAAATGTGTAAGCTATTTGACATTGGTCTTGGCAATCCTTTTTAAGATCTGATACCAAAAGCAAAAGCAACAAAAGCAAAGATAAACAAGTGGGACTACACAACAAACTAAAAAGCTTCTGCACAACCAAAGAAACCATCAACAAAATGAAAAGATAACCAACTAAATGGGAGAAAATAATTACAAATCCTTTTGCAAATCAATTGTAAATCACAATGAGTTAATAACCAAAATATATTTAAAAAGGCATACACTCAATAGCAATAAAACAAACAATCTGATTTAAAAATGGGCACAAAATCTAAATAGACATTTTTCCAGTTAAGACATACAGATGGCCAACAGGTACATGAAAAGGTGCTCAACATCATTAATCATTGGGGAAATGAAAATCAAAACCACAAGGACGTATCACATCAAAAAGTCAAGAAATAACAAGTATAGGCAAGATGTAGAGAAAAGGAAACCCTTGTACACTATTGGTGGGATTGTAAATTAGTGCAGCCACTATGGTAGACAGTATGGAGGTTCCTCGAAAACTAAAAAATAAAACTACCATATGATTCAGCAATTCCACTTTGGGTATTTATCCAAAATAAAAAAATGAAAACACTAACTCAAAAAGCTGTATGCATCCACATGTTCACTGCAGCATTATTTACAATAATTATGTAGATAAATAATTATTTACAATCAAGATATGGAAGCAACCTAAGTGTCCACTGATGGATGAATCGATATATGGCAATATCGTATAACCATTAAAAAAAAAAAAGGGATATCTTGCTAATTGCAACAGCATGGATGGACCTTGAGGGCAGTATGCTAAGTGAAATAAGTCAGACAGAAAAAGACAAATATCCCATGACCTAGTGAGATGTGGAATATAAAAAAACAAAACAAAACAAAAAATCAAAAACAAACAAACAAAAAAACCAAGCTCATGGATACAGAGAACAGATTGGTGGTGGCAGGGGTGGCGAAGGGGAAATAGGTGAAATGGGTGAAGGTGGTTGAGAAGTACAAACTTCTAGCTATAAAATAAATGTCATGGGGATGTAATGTACGGCATGGTGCCTATACTTAATAATACCATACTGCATATTTAAAAGTTGCTAGGAGAAAATATCTTAAAAGATTTCATCACAAGAAAAAATATTTTTATAACAATGTATGGTGATGGATGTTTACTAGACTTATGTGATCATGTCACAATACATACAGATATCAGATTGTTCTGTTGCATACCTGAAACTAATATAAGGTAATTTGTCCATTCTATCTCAATATTTCAGCCTTAAAAAAGGGAAATCCTGCTGTATGTGGCAATATAGATGAACCCGGAGGACATTTTGCTAAGGGAAATAAGCCAGTCACAGAAGGACAAATTCTGCATGATTATACTTATATAAAGTATCTAAAATAGTCTAACTCACATCACAGAAGCGGAAAGTAGAACGATAGTTGCCAGGGGCTGGGGAAGGGGGAAATCGGAAGTTGTATAACGGGTATAGTTTCAGTTATGCAAGACACGTTCTGGAGACTGCCGTACAAAACAGTTCCTATCGTTCACAGCATGGTACTGCACTCTTAAAAACTTGTTAACAGAGAGCTGTCACATTGTTACAACCACAATAAACAAAAAAGGATAATCGTAATATTTTTCAAAACATCTTCATTTAGAAAGCGCTATTTTTAGTTTCAAAAGAACTAAAATTCCATCCAAATAAACTATAAGGTTGGTATTACCATCCACTGGACTTTTTAACTTTATAAAAAGTCTCAAATGGATAGCAATATAGGTGTGTTATTTTTAAACCAACTTAGAGCTTTTTCTTGGGTTGATGGTTTGGTCTTATATTCACAATTAATCTTTCATACATTTAAACTTCATAAACTTATAAAATGATATCACTGATGTGGTAAGCTGCTTAAAGATAGCATTCTATTATGCTAAGCGAGATAAGTCAGACAGAGAAAGACAAATACTGTATGATCTTATTTCTGCGTGGACTCTAAAAAAGCTGAACTTGTAAAACCAGCGAGAGCAGAATGGTGGTTAGCAGGGGCTGAGGGGGTGGGAGAATTGGGGACATGCTGTTTAAGAGCACAGACTTCCAACCAGCAGACAAATAAGCCCTAGAGATCTAATGCACAGCATAGCGATTATAGACAACAATATTGTATTATAAACTTCAAAGGTGCTAACAAACTAGCTTTTATTTATTCCCACCACAAAAAAGAAATAATAATTATGTGACACGCCAGAGATGTTAGCTACATGCTAAGGTGGAAAATATATTGTAATATATAAATGTATCAAATCAACATATTGTACACTTTAAGCTTACACAATGTTATATCTCAATAAAACTAATTAAGAAAAAACAAGCTAGCATTTATATAACTCAGGTTTAGAAAAAAGCCAATGAAATCCTACTTACTATGTAATGGTGTATAAGGAAAAAAAAAAAAATATATATATATATAATATAGCACGTTTTAAATTTGGAGTATTATTTTCAGATAAGACTACTCCTAGTTTGCAAGTTTAATTATAAACACAAACACTGTCATAAGCCTGAAAAATTAATAGAAATAATATATCATTTAAACTATAACTGTTCACAATATCTGAAATATCAAACTCACAAATTCTCTGAATCACAGGGATACCTAAGTTTTATGAAAAGAAAAATATTAAAAGGATTAATCATTGTACAAAACCCCTACAGTGTGATAATTCTAAGAGGTAAAAATTACAATGAAATATGACAAAAAAGTTGTATCCCTTCATATAAATATACCTATATTATACAAGCTAAATTATCTTCTCACCTGTTCTGGGTTTGCTATGAAGTTGATGGCAGTATGGTGGCGATCGTCCTCCTGTAATAAGCTGAAGGTGAACTGATAGTCAATCAAAAGACTGTCTGTGGGGAAAAAAATACAATCCGGACGTGTATTTTTAAAAACTGCTTCATAAACAAAAGTTAGGTGAAAATATATTGTATATCAGTATTGAAAACAATTATCATTGATTATTAATGGGCTATTTAAGACTAGAAAAATATAAATTTGGTCATTAAGCAACAGAAAGCAAAACATAAACATGAAGACGTCTTAATTCTTTAAAAATTATATTACTTCTGTTGTCATTATAAACGTCTATGAATGCTATAGACATTCTGGAAACCACACAAACGTAAGAAAATAAAAGTCGTCCATAATCTTACAACCAGAGAAAAATACAGAACACATTTGGTGCGTTTTATTCCAGTTAAAATTTTGTTAAATAGATAGACTAGCAGACATTTTGATCTCCTACTATCATAAATTCAAATTCTTTGAAAAAAATGAATTTTAATAACTAAATAATATTTCATCATATGCTATAATTCATTTATTTGTTCCTTTATTATTGTGGTAATTTTTACTTTTAGGAATTTTAAAATGACTCTGTGGTAAATATCATTCTGCAGAAGTGGCTCTCATTAACGACCGATGAAAATAACACTGGGGTAAACAATTCTTAATTGTGTCCGTGTATAGTGCTGAAGCCAGGTGAATCGTTTGAATGTGACAGGTCACGAGTAGCTTCTCAAGAGTAAGCAGTACTCATAATGTTAAACTGTCACCTTTATAAAAAAAAAATTCAAATTATTTTAAATGGAAGATTTCTATTTTTTGGATACAGACCTTTCATGTTATGCCCTCTGCAATTAAACACTATTAAAACAAAAACTAAAGATGGGAATAATATCACTGAACTTATTGTTAAAAGTATCAAGGCTTCATTCCTGATGTCACCATATACTGTACAAGATCAACTCTATATATTTCTTATATAACCTAGTGTAAGGCAACACTTTGTGTTTCTAAGAATTTATAGGCATTCTTATACATGACAATGAGAATTATGCAATGGTCATATTTTCTATTTTCAGCTGACTGCCAGAAAATTCAGAGGTAAATCCAATGGGCCAGTGTTGTTCTAGGCACTAGAGATAAAAAAATAGAATCTTCTGTCCTCATGCAATCTATAGTCTATTAGATGCACATCAAAAATTAATAAAAAACGTAAGTATATAGTATAAAAGATGACAATAAGTGTTTTGGGGAATAACAAACCAGGGGAAAGGAAAGGAAATGTTGGGATATAAGTGTGCTTGCTACTTTGAGAAGGAACATTTAAAGACCAAAGACAGTAAGCCATGGAGTTTAGTAGAAATAGTGTAGTCCAGGCAGAGGAAACAAGTACAAAACCTCATAGAAAGAACAAGCCTTAACTATGATTCCTGTAAAGAGGTTGTGGCGAGAATACAGGCAAGAGCTGACAGGCGAGGCAAGTAGCTGTGGAGGTCAAAAAAACAGGTCAGACACACAGAACGTATTTGGAAGTTACAACAAACAAGGTAAGCTGAAAACAATGAAGCATTTGAAGGAAAGAAAGGTAAAGTTTTTGGACCCAAGACCAAACATAATGTCAGCATTAGCTGAGATAGGTAAGAATAGGTTTTATTTGTTGGGAGCTAGGATGAATAATTGGAGCTTAGTTTTAAAGTTAAAATTTGAGTTACTTATTGAATATGTAAGTGATATGTTAAGTAGAGGTACAGAGCATGTCTGTTAGATAACAATGTGCAAATTACCAGTATTTTACATGGGATTTATAGCACTTTAGCCAAAGGAAATCGCTAGTTGCTGATAGAGAAGAGGTCTAAGAGATGAGCCCTGAGGCACACCAATGTGCAATCATCAGCTGCTCAGGAGGAGCCCACAAAGGGACCGAGAGGTCAAACTATGAGACAGGAATCAAACCAGGATTTAGTATCATGCAGCCAAGTAAACAAAGTGTTTAAAACAGCAAGTAGTAGAGAGATCCAAGATGGCGGAGGAGAGAAACACTGTGTGTGCTTCCTTCCGTGAACACATTAAAATTACAACTAAATTATAAAACAATCAACCTGGGGAGCCGTCTGAAGACTGGCTTAACAAAAGCTTTATAACTAAGGACATAAAGAAGCAGCCAGGTGGAGACTCGCAGGAGGGGCAGAGATGAAACACAGCTGGCTCCAAACCGCCACGTGGCAGTTGAGAAGGAGGAGGGGTACCCTGGCTGTGGAGGTTCCCCAGGGAGGAGCAGACGACCCCAGCCCCACACCAGGCTCCCCAGCCCAGAGTACTGCTGCCAGAAAGAGGAGCCCCCAGAACATATAGTTGTGAAAAACAGTGCCGATTCCGACCAACCGGGTGGGACGGAAGGCTGCGGGGGAACCCTGGCGTCCTCTTAAATGCCCCGCGCATGAACTCACTCACTCCCGGGCACTCACCCTGGGCTCTGGCGGAGGGCCGGTGACTCAAGGGGCATCGGAGGCATATGGAGGGGCGGGCAGACTGAGGAGTGTGGTGGCCATGCAAGGGCTGAGGGACAGTCAGCATTAGCCCAGTAAGAGAGCCTCCTCCCATGCAGCCGGCAGGTGGGTGCCATTTCTCCTTTGTTGAGCCCGCCCCTACAGGCCAAATCTAATCTGATTGGCTGGTGAGCGCTGCTGCTCCACCCTGCTGACTCAGCGGACTTGTTCAGACCCAACTGGCACACCACTAGCAGTACTTTCTCCGTGAGCAGCCAGCCCCACCTGTATTGCACTCTTTCTTAGAAAACTATCAGAGTTCATGGGCCCCAGGTGAGCGACAACTGGCCTCAGTATGCTCTGAGGCCTTTGCTGAGTCGCTTCAGGCTCAGGACTGGCACCAAACCAGAGTCTACATTAACCTGGTAACCACAACTCTTGCCACTCTAGTGACTCTGTGAGACCCTGCCTCATCCAATTTGTGTACCACAGAGTCTTTTATCAGTGGCTGAACCTTAAGGGAGCCGGCAGGTGGTATCAGGCCTTGGGGTATCCGGGCTTTCTGAAGAGCTACCTCAGGCCTGGTACTGGGAGCAGCTGTCCTTGGTTGTCAGCATGGCCTCTCCCATGTGTCTCTAGGTTTAACACAGGCAGCGAACAACTGTGGATCACGTTGTAGCTCCTACCAGGCAGTCCCCAGTGAGACTCAGGCAGTGGGTGACCCGGGCCTGCACCAGAGGCCCTCCTAAGAGGCCCCAGAACCCACATACTTGGAGGTTGGTTTCAGACCACAGCAAAGCACCATACAATTAGCCCCACAAGTGGCATACCCAAAGGGCAGTCTCAACAGGCATCAGAGCCCACTGGGGTGAATCCCACTCAGTGGGGTAAGCGCCTTGCACAGCAGCCCATAAGCTGGACATGGTCAAACCCCACAGCCAGTCAGCCTGAGAGCCAATCTTACCCACAAATGTGCCAATAGCAATCAACTATAACAGGAGGGCACACACAACCCACACAAGGGACATTTGAAGCAACCAGAGCAAGTGACCAGGGAGACTGTGCCAGGGAACCACAGGACACCTAATACATAAGGCCATCCGGCCAAGACTGGGAGACATAGAAGATCTACCTAATACATAGAAACAAACACAGACAGGCAGCCAAAATGCGAAAACACAGAAACACATCCCAAATGAAAGAACAGGAGAAAACTCCAGAAATGGAAAAAAGCAACCTACCAGAGACAGACTTCAAAACAATAATTATAAGGATGCTCAAGGAACTTAGTGAGAACTTCAACAAAGAGATTGAAAGCATAAAAAAGGACATAGAAACCATAAAAAAATAACCAGTCAAAAGTGAAGAATATAATAACTAAAATGAAGAATGCACTAGAAAAAATCACCAGCAGACTAGATGAAGCAGAGGATCAAATCAGTGTTTTGGAAGACAAGATAGCAGAACATACCCAATCAGAACAGCAAAAAGAAAAAAGAATTTTTTTAAAATGAAGAAAGTTTAAGAGACCTCCAGGACAACATCAAACATAATGACATTCACATCATGGGGTGCCAGAAGGAGAAGAGAGACAGGAAGAGACTGAGAATCTATTTGAACAAATAATGACTGAAAACTTTCCTAACCTGGTGAAGGGAATAGATATACAAGTCCAGGAAATGCAGAGAGTCCCAAACAAGATGAACCCAAACAGGCTGATACCTACACACATTATAATTAAAATGGCAAAGGTTAAAGACAAAGAGAGAATCTTAAAAGCAGCAAGAGAAAGTCAACTAGTAACTTATAAGGAAGCTCCCATAAGATTGTCAGCTGATTTCTCAACAGAAACTTGCAGGCCAGAAGGGATTGGCAGAAAATATTCAACCTAATAACACTACAACCAAGGGTACTCTACCCAGCAAGGCTATCATTTAAACTTGAAGGACAGATAAAAAGCTTCCCAGACAAAAAAAAAAAAAAGCTGAAGGAGTGCATCACCATCACACCAGTATTACAAGGAATGTTAAAGGGACTTCTTTAAGATCAAAAAATAAAAAATAAAAATTATGAATAATAAAATGGCAATAGCTACATATCTACCAACAGTTACTTTCAATATAAATGAATTAAATGCTCCAATAAAAAGGCATAGGAGGACTGAATGGATAAGAAAACAAAACCCTTACATATGCTGCCTACAAGAGACTCAATTCAAATTGAAAGACACACAGAGATGTAAAGTAAAGAGATAGAAAAAGTTATTTCATGAAAATGCAAATGAAAGAAACAAAGAAGGCTAGGGTTGTATTACTTATGCCAGACAAAATCTTTAAAACAAAGGCTATAAAAAGAGACAAAGAAAGACCCAGTAATCCTATTTCTGGCTGTTTATCTAAAGAAACCCAAAATGCTAATTCGATGGGACCTATGCATCCCTATGTTTATTGCAGCATTTTTTACAACGGCCAAGATGTGGAGGCAGCCTGGGTATCATCAATGGAAGAATGGATAAAGAGGAGGTGGAACATATATACAATGAAATATTGGTGGCTCGGCCATGGATGGGAATGGGTTCT